TCCCTCCCTCCCTCCCTCCCTCCCTTCCTTCTGGTTGACTCAGCCTTCCCTCCTTCCAAGGTGGGTAAAATGGGGACCCAGATGGTTGGGGGCAAAAGGCTGACTCTGTAAACTGCTTAGAGAGGGCTGGAGAGCACTGTGAAGTGGTATATAAGTCTAAGTGCTATTGCTATTGTCCTTCCTTCCTCCCTTCCTTCCTCCCTTCCTTCCTTCCTCCCTTCCGGTTGACTCAGCTTTCCTTCCTTCCGAGATCGGTAAAATGAGGAGACCCAGATTGTTGGGGGAAAGAGGCTGACTCTGCAAACCTCTTAGAAAGGGCTGGAAAGCACTGTGAAGCGGTGTATAAATCTGGGTGTCCTTCCTTCCTTCCTCCCTCCCTTCTTCCTTTTCTTTCCTTTCCCCTCTCTCCCTCCCTTCCTTCCTGTTAGAATGCAGTATTGCAGACGTACTCTGCCGACTGCCAGGAGTTTGATCCTGACCAGTTCAAGGTTGACTCAAGCCTTCCGTCCTTCCGAGGTGGGTCAAATGAGGACCCAGATTGTTGGGGGACAAGAGGCTGACTCTGTAAACAGCTTAGAGAGGGCTGGAAAGGACTGTAAAGCGGTATATAAGTTTAAGTGCTATTGCTTTGCACTTCTTTTTCCTTTTCCTTCCTTCCCACCTTCCCTTCCTTCCTGCCTTCCCCTCCTTCCTTCCTTCCTTCCTTCCTGCCTTCCCTTCCTTCCTATGCAGTAATTAGAAAGGAGTATTGCAGGCTTTCTGCCCACTGTCAGGAGTTCGATCCTGACTGGCTCAAGGTTGACTCAGCCTTCCCTCCGTCCGAGGTGGGTCAAATGAGGACCCAGATTGTTGGGGGCCAAGAGGCTGACTCTGTAAACCACTTAGAGAGGGGCTGGAAAAGCACTGCGAAGCGGTATATAAGTCTAAGCGCTATTGGCTATAGAACGTTCTGTGTCTATGGAGAATCGGGAATCTGCCCTTGACGCCATTGGACAGAGATGAAACGCGAACCTCTTACATTTTGCAAGCCGTGGAAAGTGCCTGGGATAAAACTGGTAGGAGGAGAAAAACGGCCCAAGACCCACCCATCTCTGAATCCACATCCGGGACCGTTACACTCCCCGGGGCCTCAGAGCGAACGGAACAATTTGAGGAACTGGATAACTTGGAGGTAAGTTGTTTGGAGCAGAGCATCAGCCTACAAGAAAGATGGATGGTTTAGGCCCTTCTCCTTGGGAGGCGGGGGCTAAGACGCTGAGCTTGTCAATCAGAAAGGTGGGCAGTTCGAATCCCGATCGCCGCATAACGGAGTGAGCCCCCCGTGACTTGTCCCAGCTTCTGCCAACCTAGCAGTTCGGAAGCACGTAAAAAATGCAAGTCAATTGGCTTCTGTGTATCCGAATTTACAACCCAAATGTTGGAGATGTGGTTCTCTTGATGCTACATCCTTCCATATATGGTGGACTTGCCAAAAGGTTAAAAGCATTTTGGATAAAAATATGGTGGATTATACAAAATATTCTTTCAAAAAAGGATAAAATTTACTCCTCAGTTATTCTTGTTAGGTATAATTACTGACTGTACAGCGGTAGAGGTTAACCTGATTTTGCATTTAATAACGGCAGCAAGACTGTTGGTGGCGCAATACTGGAAGAAGGAAGATTTGCCTACAACCCAAGAATGGACATTGAAAGTCACAAATTTAGCTGAGATGGCTAAAATATCTGCATATCTTAAAGACCATTCTTTAAGATATGCAGATATGTTAGCCATCTCAGCTAAATTTGTGA